TATCTTAAGTTTTGAGCTGTTGTCATCGAATTGATTAAAATTGGATAAGCGCTCGGGATATGTATGCATGTATGTATGTTTGATGCTTACAGACATATTATCATTTTCGAATACCTTTTGTCTCGATCTACTGACATTATGAATTAAGCTCCAGTTTTCAATCTCGATTCTTTTAACGGGAGATGGAATGCTAGCGGGTCTATTTACGCACTTTAATAGGCTGCTAATTTCTCTTTCTTGCTATAATGATCGAAACTATTTGAAAAATGAATACAAATGTAGTTTTAAATAAGTAATCACAATTAAAAGTAGAAAGACAGCTGAAGCGCTAAATAGACTGCTAATAGGCATTGAAAGGAAGCTGGTGTGAAGGAAAGGCGCGTAAATGAAATCGAAAGATTTGAGAAATACTTAACATGCGCATGAAATTTTGTTGCATACCAAAAAGAAAAAGAAGAAAAAAAGTTGATCAACGAAAGAAGCAAGAAGCAGGAAAATTATATGGGCTTGCGACCGGACCTTTAATACCCGTAGCCATTATCCCACAAAGGATTGAAATATAAATTTGCATACTCAATAATAGTGTGGAGGCGTGGGCTGATTTTGAATTACTTTGATCATTTGAATAACAAATGTATTGATTTTGTCTTCCGACTGAATACCATCGTTGCATGGTATAAGTTTTAGACAATAAGTTTGAATTAAATCCTCCTCCTATCGTACTATAATTTCGTTTCGTTTCGGGGACACACTTTGCCTTTTGTTCGATAATTTTGCTCTTTAGAATACCCGCACATTATTGCTTGATAGTGATTGCAACAAGTTACGATTTGCTAACCTGGTATCTTTTTACTCCTGTGGCGGGTAATCACGTGCGAGGAAATTAACATTCGCTTTCAACTGTTTAGCAAAAACAGGTGAAATCTTCAAATTACCAACCATCATAGGCGTTCATATTAGGTTTTAGCAGAAATTTATGTTTGTCGTTCCGTTCCAGTTATGCCTATTACAAGTAGTGGGATTTTTAAATCTAAAGACGGGATGAACTGCACTATAATAGCAATGAATTTTTTTACGTTATGTCAAAAGGCTGGCAACTCTTTCGTGAACTTATCTTCGTGTAACGATTACTTCACGAAAGCTTTTCTTCACGATTTTAAACAAACTGACATAGAATTGTTGGTAAATTTTCGATTTCAATGATTCGTTACAATATTGGGCACCAGTTCCCTTACAAGCCATTCTGTCCAACTAATCGTGTCAAACAATTGTATGTTTGCCAAACCCGATTAAACACTGAAAAGAAATTTCCGCATGCAACATTAGGTGTAAAACCCTTCTTCCAACAAAGGCTTCAAAAATTATATGCCGATATTGATGAGAAATTACGCATTGAACAGTACTTAGCTATTGGGAACGAGCTTTTCGTCAAGCGAGTTTTGGCTGCCGCGGAAAAAATTACTCATAAGGATGAAGTTCGTCGCGCTCAAGAAAATGTAAGGCGAGTAAAGGTAAAAAAAAAGAGATGAAATCGCCTCTTTGTGGAGTAGATATATATAAACTAGCCCTCTCTAATAAAATAGGAATCTTTAATCGAAAAGAGCAAAGAAAAACATTCGCTAGCGAGTAAACTGGATTGCGTCAGAAGTGGCTTGAGTCAAATATACAGGGATATGAAGACGAATAATCGCTCGCAGGAAAAATATTTAGATTTAACCCGACAAGAAATAGAAGTCAGTTAGTCAATTATTGTTTTTTGTTCAGCATTTCGATATGATATCGTTTCTCATACTTTTTCTTTTAGTTATATATGAACGAGAAGGATTTATTAGCAACTATAAAGAAGGTTGATGAAGAGGAGCGCCTTTTATTGTATTATGAATTAACTGCTGCTATTAACGAATCCTTTGAGAAAGAAAAAGTGCACGCACATACCATCAAAGTGTTCGGTTTAGTAGGTGTTATTCTATCTGCCTTCTTAACATATATGTACCAGCAAAAGCGTTTTCATATTCTACGTCAAGAAATGGAGAAATCATTGACGCACAGCATGAAACAGGTCATGGACAATATGAATGAGAAAAAGCAAGAATCATGGGTTTCTTATCTAAAGCGTTCGATATATAATTGGCCATACAAACCGTCATAAATTTATAATTTCACAGCAATAATGTTCAATGTCTCCTTTCTAAGGTTTGTAAAAAAAAGGATCATGTATTAAGAATAGAGAGAGACCTTGTTGAGAGTTGCTTTCAATAAACAGCAACGCTTTGAATCAACAAAAAGAATACGAAGTCAGTCATATGTTCATGGTTTAAATAGTATTGTATAGTTCTTTTTTAAACATTAAAAATTACAATTCGAGACCAAATCTCTGTTAAACATTAAAAATCGTGGAGCAGGATCCTTGTTTATTGCTTTCCAGCCAGAGCAGGGCAGTAGCTCTGTTAAGCTAGAAGAAGTAGCGTCTTCTGGCTGCATGCTCTCTGATTTTTAAACTCGTTTTGGTATTGAAAGTAGGACAAAACGGTCAAAAGAGACGTCCACAGTATTAGGTAAACTTAGAACACCCATTTTTCACAAGCAATAAAAAATTAGTTTTTGATCATTAAAAAAGAACTTTGATATAGAAGGAAATCCTAAGAATGATTTCAAATGAAAAAACGTGCGAAATTTTGCCGACTTCGCTGTTAAAGATATACATGTATAAAAACAAATAAATCATCCACAATATGTGAATAGGTTTTCTATGATATAATTATTCATGAAATGATTAGAAAGCGCAGAACGCCAACCAAAAAATATATATTTATAGTTATTTTATTTTCAATAAATTGATAAATGATTTTAATAACCGTTTATTTTGTTGTATGCGCTAAAATCCACTCTTGTTAGTGATAACTATTTGATGACGAAAAAGTTTCAAAGTGAAAAAATGCCTAGAATGCAAATAAATTTATTTAAGAGCACAATTCAAAAAATATAATAAAATGAAAAATGGGTTAAAAAATTTCCTATATAACGATAACAAATGCTTTCGGTCAACTAGAGACGTAGGCTTTTATTCAACGAATGCTAAAGGCGTCGCCATCACACGCGCTCCTATATGCATGCGATCTATGCGCCTAAATATAAAGCTGTAATTGTGAAAATATTTTTGCTTTTCACTATTTTTGAATTGATGGCTATGGTGGTAACGTTAAATTTAATGCAAACCTTATGATTATTCATCATTTTTTTTTTTTTTTTAAATCTACTGGAAATGTCAAATCGTTTGTAAAGATTTCTTAATGCGCGTCATCAATATGAGAGGAGGAAGATTTTGAATGTGTTTACTATTAGATTAGCAGGCCCCACACAACAGATTTTTCAAGTATATTCAACCCTATGTTGAAAATGTTGTTTAACAAAAATTAGCTAATATTGTCATTTTTACATCTGACACGAGAATTGCCTTCGATTTTTGGAAAGCACACAAACATGCATCGGAGGCTTAACGAGTTGTGTGCCAATATACCTAAATCCACGGCGTAGTGTTAGTGTGTGTCCGCAGCTCGCTTGGAGAAGTCGTTGTTATGATCTTAAAACGTTGTCCAGGAGAAAAAATTCATTACTCTTCTCAGGTAAATTTCATAGTTTGGTAATTTTGATCCATGAACCCGCTTACGTAGCTAAGTAGTGAAAATTCGTTTACTTTCTGCTTGTTCGAAAATCATGGCTTCATTTTATTTTTACAACTTAGTGTTGTTGCGATTTTAACGTTGCATACCGTTATAAAAATATGATCTGAGATGAATATTACGCAACATACGCTTTGAAAAACAAGACCTGCACCGAGTTAAAAAGTCGTGTTCTTTTTGCATCCTATACCATGCAGGGTGCAGGGTACAAGAAAGGGTTAAGATTGACCGTAGATTTCTTACTATACCAATCGATTCAGAATGATATCGATAGAATCGATCTTGCCTTGTCTCTTAATCTGATAGCTGCCCATTTACTTTTGTTTTAAACCTAAAAGTCCAGGCTTTCGCGATGTTTTAAGGAAATTAGGTACACTAAAGTGCTCCGGTCCAGGGACGAAACCTTTTGAACATGGATTACATGGAACCATCTTTACGACCACTGCATGGTTATATGAGAAAAATTGCAGTTTTCAAAAATACCTGGTACAAATCCCTGAGAAATAGTATTTCGTCATATTAAATTTATGTGCAAACTTCCCATGGGAAGAGTCAATATTTTGCGCCTCCTCTTTAGTAAGGGTTTCTAAGCAAACTACGCCTTTACGGTCTAATTCTTAATATTTTATATTCAACATTGATCTACAAAGTTAGTTTGGCATAAAAGCAATTGTACTTAATGTAGTCTTATTTTGTGTACACAGCCTTACATAAAAGATGTGATGAAAACTAAGCCTCTATATTGCAAAAAGTTCAATTTTTTCATACGCAAGCAATGAAACCGCGTTCGAAATGTCATTTCCAATTATTTCTTGTGCTAGCCATTTACCTCCGCTCGCATTGCAGATGTAAAAGTCTAGCAACAGTTGATTCATCAATTGACCAACTGATATTAATGTAGAGTTACTTGTAGATTGGTGACTATTGCAGGAACAGAACATAAAATAATCTTATTAAAATTTTCTTTTATTTATACACTTGCTTTATGTCACCGACTGCGTGGAATATTTCGCAATATATTTAATTATATATACTTTTACGATTTGGTGAACGGAGCATTATCGAGTAAATAAGTTTACGAAGAGGTTGCGTTTGTGGACGCAATGAAGTAACAGGTAGAACCATAACAAGAAAGCTCTACTTTCAATGAATTATGTACATAAGAGGGTGGGAGAGTGAAAATGTACTTACCTTGCTTATTCTTTAATAGGAGTATCTACGAATAAGAAATGTTTAGCATTTAATGCAATCCTGTATGCAGAATTTCAGGAAATTTGGCAGCACTCTTTAAAATACATTGCCGGTATTTCATTTTCATTTTTGTCTAACATTTTTGTTGTGTACACTTCCAAAAATTCCGAAGGTTTCTTATTTATTGTAAGAAAAATTTCTTACAAATTACAGAAAGTCCATATGATCGACGTATATATGAATGAGGTACTGCGTGTAGGAGTAGCCCAGATATGTCAAAACGTTGGCTATGATGCAACGAAAACTGTTGCTTTAGAGCTGTTGCAGGGTATTTTGGATAAGTTTCTGAAAAAACTCACCAGGGACCTGAGACATCTCGTAGAACATTGTAAGTAAACAATTGCACTGAAAGTTATGAAGATAAATCTCGATAATTTCCCTTTACTGCTATAAATGCCAAGATAATCGTACAGAAGCAAATTTAAATGACATGGCTTTGATTTTGCCAAACTCTGGCGTCAACCTCGACGAATTAACGGAGTACGTTACCAATGTTGAGCCAATTCCATTTGCATTTGAAGTGCCGAAGTTTCCTCGAAGTAAAGCCGCAGGTGTAGGTTTCAAGAAACCGAGCAACAAAAAAGTCTTGTCAGGTCCCATTTATGTAAACAAGCATTTGCTCGAAAAACTATTACAAGATTATGAAAAACCATTAATAAATCCTTTAGCGGTATAAATAATTGTTGCTCATACTTTTTAAGTAGTATCCAATTGGTTTAGAAAGTGCTTCCACAGGTAAGTATGACGCCTTCGCACGTTTTTCAGCTTGACTAAACTTTCATGCAGCGCATAACATTACGAATCTTATGGAAAAATATCAAGTACACGTAAGTTTGGACGAAAACACCTTATGATCTCTAGTGAATGATTCGACGAGGGGGCTAACAATGTTGTAGGTGTTAAATACCAAATGTTAGTTTAAAATTTAAGATTTTATCCTATTTAACATCAAACAGGAGCAACAACTTCTTGAAAGAAATAACAGTAAGATTAGGGAAACAAGAAATGCAAGACATATTTATGTTTTGGTCACCCACTTACCATTGAATAATCTAAATAATGCTGACGGAACATGCAAGGCTACCATTATTTTACATTTTTATGGCTCTCTTCACTGATTTGTGTCGATGCTATCAACTTGCGCTAATTTATATGTATTCCCAGATTAGCGCGACTTGCGGCGATAATTATCTAACTCCTTCGTTTTGGTGCCATACGGTAATCACATATGCAAAATTTAATCTTCGCCTTCCTTTTCAGCTCTTTTGGCGAAACAGCTGAATTCAAAAGTGAAGGCTAACTTTCAGTTACGTGGTTATTGCGATTTAGTGTGCTTACAACAAAAGCATTCACTGTTGTCTGACGACTGTGTGGCTGTTTTTTCTCTTACGTGTATGCACAACAACGAATATTCTCTCTTAATTAGATAATTTCAGTACAATAGCTTACGGTCTAAAAAAAATTCTTTAGATATACCTTTTAAACTTGATATTTCCAGATAAAATATTGTAATCGGGTTTCGCGCCAAGAATTTCTAATTTTACTATAGCATTATTCTTACTGTGTTGTCCAGTAAACGCTTTCTATATTAAAATAGAATTCCCGAAACACCGAACTTAGCTTTCTTTTTATATCTCGCTACCTTCGTATTAGAATCGGTAGCAGACTACTTAAAATAACGTCCTACTCGATGAAGAAGGCGTATTTTTTTAAAGATATCTGAATATATAGAATATTCTGCAAAATATCGCGGTTCGGAAATGCTTTGTTCCTCATTGACTTTGTTTTTTGCATGTAATAGCGCTTAAAACACGCAACTGTGCATGCTTTTGTCTTCTTAATGTTTGAAATTGTATGACGTCATGTCAGGACACCCTCAACACAATTTTTGACAATATGTAGACAAGCAGAAAATTGCACAACAATTTGTATTTCTTTTTTCTCAGCTTTGTTTATTTTTTGATCAGGCCAGTTCTAATAACGATTCCAGTTTAACTAATGTCACTGACACTAGTGGTGAAAATAGTTTTGATCTCAGTTTAAATGATTGCAGTTCAGTTTCGGATAATGTACCCAGCTTAGGTGCTTTCAAACAATAAATGCGTATTACAAACATGTATATCTTGCTGTACATATATCAGTCTACTTAGGCTTTTGTGTGTTCATTGTTCTAATTTCGGGGTAAATGTACATGTTTGACATGTAAGACATGTCTGAGACCATAATTGGCATAATGCGGTTTCAATTCGCTTCAATTTTATCTGGCAAAGATTGTTTTTAAATTAAACACATACAACGTTGACTGCGTATTACACATAAATACTTATGAGTAATTCCTCTTGCAATAGATAATAAGTGTTTGTTAAATAATTTTAAACTTAAAATTAAACGATATTTCTGATCATATAAACATTAGCAAATGCGTTTAGAATTCTTATTAATTATTTTTTTTATTATTGGGCACCAACTGCCACAATAGACTTTAAATTTGTTCCGATCATTTGGTATAGAGTCGACATACTGCAAATTATCGAGAAAGTCGCGAGCACATGTTAAGCCTAATTGGTCGTGGGCATTCCAACCACAGCCATATAAGGCGCCACAGGTTTTTACGATTATAGTGTGACGTCCACCAGCTACAACGTTAATGCATAGTATATATAGTTGTAAAAGCAAAGTTGTTGCCCTTTCTTTGTTGTCAGTTTTCTCTGATTACACATTGTCTCCGCGTGTTTGCTCTATCAGACCCCTTGACTTTTTATTGGTAGACAATGACAACAGATAATGCACAAGACGCTACGAACAGACGCCTATAGCGCCTATAACGGGTTCACTGCAAAGATTTGATTAGACTGTCTTTCGAATTTTCGCTTTTAACATCAGTTGGCTTAAGTCGTAATTGATGTGTGATTGTTGAAAAGTTGGGAAAATGAAAAATAATAATAACTTAATCACTGCATTCAGCGTAACTATTTATAAGTCCGGAATAATTTGGGACCCAGACACGAATCGTAGAGATTCGAATGTAGTAGAGATTCAAGCCTAAATCAGAGTTCATTACAATTTAATTAACTAAATTGTCAAGAATAGATAAATGCTAGTTGCAGAATGCAAACCTTAAGGCTTTGACTTTATTTTTCCCTTTTTCGCCTATGAATTTTCGCATTTTCATCTTTTAATTATAAGAATAGGAAAAAGGCAGAGAACATGTTTTAATTGCATGCACTGGAGCGTTACGAGAATTACAAAACATATTATTATTTAGATTTTAGAATCTATTAAATGTTCTATATTTTTATGACTGCAGCTATAACAGAGTATTTCAAAGAAACGAGTTGTTACAATAGAAATGAAAGAACGAAAGAATAAAAAAAAAAAGTTTCATACTTTGAAGAATTAAAATGTTGAGAGAATCCCATGTGCTGCAAAAATATTTGTTACTTTATGAAAAATGATGGGAAAATACAAATTTTACTATGCCATTGTTAAAAAAATACTGTATGCAAGGCTTTTGTTGCTTTCATCTTGAGCTTAGAGATTTAATTCTACTTCTACATGTGGGTTTTCTTTCTCTTTCTTCATCATTGGTAATATTGGCATAGTGGTTTAACGTTTCGGGTAAAGAGTTATATAAATTATAACTTTATCGCCTTTACTAGAAAACTGCATAAATTTTACCAACAACAACGCGAGTATTCATATGAAATTGCGAATGTGTTGACAGAAAATATGTTTGGATAAATTTTTATGCTATTCTCTCTTCTTTCCCTTCCTCTCCTCTCCTTCTTAACCGACTCTCTCTCGCTCTCCCTCTCTCTCTCTCTCTCTCTCTCTCTCTCTCTCTCTCTCTCTCTCTCTCTCTCTCTTCATATCCCTCTCTCACTTATTTTATTCTGTCTTATTACTATTTAACGGCTATAAAAGTCACCGTCATCTAGTGTCTTAAGCCAGACTATTAAAGAAAGTTATTTTAAATATAACAAGCAAGTTAATTGTTTTGGGTAGTGAAAGGCTCACGCATTTGCATAATCTAACTGACTCGTCCCAGACAGATTTATATAACACGGAAAGAGTTTGCTATGTTATATGATTGTCTGCTGTTGTCTATTTGCTAATCTGGGTGAAATAAGACGAAGCAGAATTTCAAAATTAATTTTCAAATATGAAGAACGGCATAAAAAGCTGTACTAGAACATCTAATTTCACGCAAGACGGACGAGGGGTTTGGCCGAATACATTCTTTTATTATTCCCTGCACCACTTGTGGCACAAGGGTATATTAAATTTGTGCGAATTCATGTAACAAACAGAAGGACGTAAGGCAGACACATGCTTTATTACACCGATTGGTTCAGAATCACTTTTTGGATAATTTTCCGAACCGATCTAAGTTTGTTGTGTGTTTGTAACGGACGGATGTAGCAATTTTTAAGATCGGATAAACCCACGTGTTTTGATCCATGGAAAATAGTTCGAAACGGTTCACTTCTTCGACTACTTCTTGTGTAAAGCCTTGCTCTGAAAACTCGTTATGTGAATACCTATATTGAGGAAAGTGGTGTAGGGCATTTAATGACAGGCCGTGGCCTACTATAACATTTCTATTTGGTGTTTTTAAGGTTTAAAAATCCAAGCTATCCTGCTGATATATCGTTACGGTGAAATGTTTAAAAACTTATGATCCAATCAAATGAATATATTTCACCAAACCAGACTAATAATTACCAAAAGTTGGTTACAAATAGCCAATTTTTGCAATTTATCTTTATAGAGAAAGCAAAAAAAAAAAGAAACAAAATATCTTCTATATCGTTACGAAAATCCATTAAAACCTCGTTGAATTTCCACATCCAATCCTTTCATAAACCAAAATTTGTGTTTAATTAAACAACTAACAAACAAACAACAAATTTAACGCTAATGGGCTAAACAATGCGTGCCTAAATGCGAACTACATTAACAGAAGAGAAAACAGCAAGAGACTGCTTATATGGAGTTATGGAGTAGGGATAGCAAAAACTAGATATTCAGCGTTACAACAAGCGTTAACGTATTAACAGAAATTTGTTGAAAGGTATTAAATTATAGCCTAAATTTAAGGCCAAAGTCTTAAGCATCCGACGCCATCGGCTTTATGGAAACACTCATAAAGTTGTTAGTTACATTTTTACTTATTTATTATCATTACATCTTTCTTTAGTTTAGCTCAATGTTTTAAACATCATTTATGCTTAATTAAGTGCCTCCGTATATATAAGCACTAGAGGGCGATAAGCAGACACGTTTTTATGGCTAATTAATCACCTGCTTTGTATAAACTGCAACCAAGTGCAACCATTGATATGTTAATGCAAATTTTAGACGGTCTAAACTATTGTGCCTAGTGTGAGCGCAACTTCACTTCGTGTCGGTTTTCACGGAATATGTATTGTTAGATATGAGTAGAACATAAAAATTACAATTAATTTTTTTCCACACCCTACATGCTCTAGGATTTTTTTTAAATTCATAGATCGGTCGTGTAATAATCGTGCTTTTTTACTGCTTAATTCATTACACATTTGATATACATATCGATGCAAGAATATTGATTCATTGTAGATATATATATATATACATATATATACGTACGTGTGTATATAAACATTTCATATATGTTTGTATCATCTGCATATCTATATTGTCTAATGCATATATACATGTTTGTATGCGGCATTATTTTCCAAAAGCAATCCAAGTGTGTGCATGTGTGATTTATAATTAAAATACTCTACTAATGAATATGTACATAAAATTTTGTAATCATACGCCCCGCATGTTTTTAAAAATAAAATCAAATGAATAAATCATACGTCGTGTAGATTTGTTAGAAATTGCTTAATTCTTTGAGAAGATACTTTAACAAAAACGAGTCAATGACAAATGCAAGCATTAGAAGAAATCCGTGTTCTTCTTTTAATTATTTTTAATTTCGGTTTATTACTAGACTTGGAAACTTAGAAAATTTTCTTTTGAATCTTCAAACCTGTTGTTCATTTAATAACATTTCTTTTTTATAAAGTCTATCTAACATAAGTATGAAAAAAGTTATTTAAATATTTTCTGTTTCAAGAAAATTTGATGAATTAATCTTTTGATTAAAAAAAGCAAATATTGTCCATCTAAATCTTAATAATGAATATACAAGAAAAATAAATGTTTGCATATACAGGAAAAACTTAAAGAAAAGTTTTCCGTTTGGTTTGCTTTATAACTCTAGATTTGTATTTCTTTAGTCAGCAATTTAAATTTTTATATGTACATTTGACGCGATTTTATGACTATTCACTGTAGAGAAAGCTCCAATTTACATCATTAGATTGCGAATAAGTATCGAGTACTATAGAGTAATGGAAACAAGCTCCTTAAGCTTTACGTACTATACTACTACTACAAATTATCCACTTTTAGCGTAAATGTTGTGCAATCTTTCAGTAACTTAAATTCTATCCCAAAATCCATCCACTAATTTCCGGAAATATTTTCTTTCCAGCACTTCTAAATAGTGACGCGTAAGTTCAAGCCCAAGCTAACAATTAATATGGACAGTAAAAAGGAATACACATGAAGGAGGTGCTCCACCCTCGTATCAAACGAATAATTTAAGCTCTAACAGCCTAGCCATGAAGCAGTGGAAACTGTTGCCCATAATTGTGATGGAGCCAATAAAAATGATTCTTTATAGCTAAACAATAATAAACATTGCGTTTTATGGCTTTACACATTACACATTTACTATACCCATATATCCAAAGAAAATCAAAACATTCATCAAGCAAGATTTGTTTATGCCCCAAACAAAAATCAGGAAATATATCACAAATTTAATTGCGGATTAATTACACTTTATTTAAATTCGATTTCTTCATAAATTGTTCTACATTCATGTACACATGATCACAGCATTAAATAAATATATTTTACTAAGCATTGTAACACTTGAGAAATGACACTGAAGAATTTATTTAATTTGGTCTTATGAGCATGACTCTCACTAAAATGCTGTAATATATGAACTTGTGATACGTGACTTGAATAAGAAATGTCTGCGTGAGACAAA